TTCGTGATCAGCGACCCAAAAAACATAAAACCCACTGACATCCTCGACGCGACCTAACAATTTTACAGGACTGTTGTGGGCGTAACGACTAAAACCCACACACCAAAAACAGGCTAAAATCCCCCCAAATTGGAAATTCCCCTTGGTCTATTATTTCCATGCCCCACTTTTTCCAGGATTGAAATAGATCAGATTGACTTACTTTTTCGGTCCTCGTTTGCGATGTTTAGTCGACAAATACAGCCTCGCCTTCTTTTTTTCACCGTTTCCATCCTTTTTCGACTTCATAGTATTTGTTATTCCACTCAGTTCACTGGGGGTTGTTAATTATACACTGAACACGCGTCACAATAAAATTTATTCACATAAAACACTGAAACAATCCTGAATGTCGACGTGAATAACGTTGTTTATGAATCGTCACTCCGAAAACTGACGAAATGTCCAACTGTGCCGGCACAGCAGGTCCCAACTTCGCATCGACCAATGATCGCACGGAACCCCAGAATATTCCCCATTCCTTTTCCAACTTCCGGTTCATTCTCGCGTTGAATCAGCCGGTGCGATGGAGAGTTCATAAACAATCGATGAAAATGGGAGGTAAGTGTTCTACTGTATTTTTTTATGTCTATTTTATTAGTTTGTCATCTCAAGTAGAAGAATTTACATATATTTGTTCAGTCCAAGTATAATAATAGCAGTAGAGAAGAGTCAAAATATTGAAATGTCATCACTTGTTAAAGAATTAGGGTGGGAATGGAAAAATAAAGTAGGGTTATTCGTTCAGTTTCATAGCAAACAGTATTCACCTTGAATTACTTTTTTATCAATAAAAAATGTCTCCCAATCGCAGTTTACATTCAGGCTAAGAAATATGAATTCTCTCGTATTGTTAGGTACTTGAGTGACGATTTGATCTTTATTTATTTGTTTTTTTATTCCTTGTCCAGATAATGAGCAGATCAACGGCGGAGGGGCGGAGGGAGGAGGAAAAAAAAAAATTCTAAGAGAATTAGAATTTAGAGAGAAAAAATTTCCGCTTCACCCAGCCGGGAATCGAACCCGGGTCTCCCAGATACGCGCCGGGCACTCTTACCGACTAAGCTACCGGGAACCACAGAAATTCACTCTCAAATTCACCTCAAACACCGCCTAACCTCCTTTAGGCATTAAAGAATTCTAAGAGAATTAGAATTTAGAGAGAAAAACTTTCCGCTTCAGAAAATCCGCGAATCCCGGGGTTCAAGATTTCAATCTTGAACCCTGAAATGATTCGGTTCATTCAGGCTTTCGTGATTCAGCAGCTGGGCAATGTGAGTTCTATATAAATATATTTTTTTCTTTACTTCTAACTAGAAAAAACTAATATCTATCAGCGTATAGAGTGAAAAAAATTAACAACTAACCATTTGTTTATTATAGTGAATAATAATATGTGGACATTGAGGTTTTAGGGTTCTAAGGGTGACAAAAGTCTGAAAATTTGAGAGTACCTCCAGAGGACCCCCAGATAAGTTTCTCACCCCCCAAATTTGGAAAAAAAGTAAATTAATAATTTTTTATTGATTTTTATTTAAATAAATCTTCAGATATTATCCTAATTTTCTTTCTAATTGCGACAAAAGTCTCAAACTTGGCAATTATATTAAAAAAACTCCCCACTAAAGTTTCTCACCCCCCAAATTTGAAAAAAAAGTCAATTAACAATTTTCTATTGATTCAAAAAAAAAATTAATCTTCTGCTATCATTCTAATTTTCTTTCTAATCGCGACAAAAGTCCCAAACTTGGCAATTATATTAAGAAACCCCCCACTAAAGTTTCTCAACCCCCAAATTTGGAAAAAAAAAGTCAATTAACAATTTTCTATTGATTTAAAAAAAAAATTAATCTTCTGCTATCATTCCAATTTTCTTCCTAATCGCGACAAAAGTCTCAAACTTGGCAATTGTATTAAGAAACCCCCCACTAAAGTTTCTCACCCCCCAAATTTGGAAAAAAAGTCAATTAACCATTTTTTATCGATTTATTTAAAAATAAATCTTCAGATATCATCATAATTTTCTTTCTAATCGCGACAAAAGTCCCAAACTTGGCAATTGTATTAAGAAACCCCCCACTAAAGTTTCTCACCCCCCAAATTTGGAAAAAAAGTCAATTAACACTTTTCCATTGATTTAAAAAAAAAAGAATCTTCTGCTATCATTATAATTTTCTTTCTAATCGCGACAAAAGTCCCAAACTTGGCAATTATATTAAGAAACCTCCCACAAAAGTTTCTCAACCCCCAAATTTGGAAAAAAAGTCAATTAACAATTTTCTATTGATTTAAAAAAAAATTAATCTTCTGCTATCATTCCAATTATCTTTTTAATTGCGACAAAAGTCCCAAACTTGGCAGTTATATTAAGAAACTTTTGTTTCGCGATTAGAAAGAAAATTATAATGATAGCAGAAGATTCATTTTTTTTAAATCAATGGAAAAGTGTTAATTGACTTTTTTTTCAAATTTGAGGGGTGAGCAACTTTAGGGGGGGGGGGTTCTTAATATAATTGCCAAATTTGGGACTTTTGTCGCGATTAGAAAGAAAATTATAATGATAGCAGAAGATTCATTTTTTTTAAATCAATGGAAAAGTGTTAATTGACTTTTTTTTCAAATTTGAGGGGTGAGCAACTTTAGGGGGGGGGGNGATTAGAAAGAAAATTATAATGATAGCAGAAGATTCATTTTTTTTAAATCAATGGAAAAGTGTTAATTGACTTTTTTTTCAAATTTGGGGGGTGAGAAACTTTAGTGGGGGGTTTCTTAATATAATTGCCGAATTTGGGACTTTTGTCGCGATTAGAAAGAAAATTATGATGATATCTGAAGATTTATTTTTAAAAAAATCAATAAAAAATTGTTAATTGACTTTTTTTCCAAATTTGGGGGGTGAGAAACTTATCTGGGGGTCCTCTGAAGGTACTCTCAAATTTTCAGACTTTTGTCACCCTTAGAACCCTAAAACCTCAATGTCCACATATTATTATTCACTATAATAAACAAATGGTTAGTTGTTAATTTTTTTCACTCTATACGCTGATAGATATCAGTTTTGTCAACTTTTGTCGGCCTTCAACAATCTGCTAAATAGTTTTTTAAGGGTGGAAACTCGGTCGAGCGTGAGAACCACTGCTTTTCTATCTTCCGCTAACGAATCTTCGGCTATCTTCCACTCCATGAAATTGAGTAGTTCCTGAGACAACAATTTGTTTCAATTTCGTTTTTCCTCAATATCTCGTTAACTACTGCACCGCACGTGTGAAAAAAATTAATGGAAAAAATAACGGAAATTCAATCAAATTTCTATTGGAATTGAGTAAAAATTCTATTGGAATTCTATTAGAATTCTATTGGAAAATTCTATTCGTTTTTCGGCGCCATTTCTCGAAAATGTAAGTATTAGAAAAGTCAGTAGATTCATTTTTTTCCACAACAATTCTTGGGCAGGATTTTTTTTCCTTTTCTTGGGTTTTATTATGAGAAACAAATGAAAAACCACCGGAAAAAACTTCGAAAATTTACGCACAAGAATTTCATAGAAAAATGAAAATTCATTGACTTCTCTATCAAATATCTCCTATAGAAATAGCACAAAAAAGAAAGGGAATTCTCCAATAGAATTTGAATCAAATTTCAATAGAATTGTTATAGAATTCCAATAGAAATTCAATAGAATTTCAAAAGAAATTCGATAAAATTTGTTTTGATTTTGCTATGGAATCTTTTCATACGTGTAATTTTATCAATTTTTTTGTTTTCTAAATTCGGCTCAATGGCTTCTATGTGGATAAATCAAAAAAATTAATTTTAGAAAATTTACGCACAATAATTTCATAAAAAAATGAAAATCCATTGACTTCTCTATCAAAAATCTACTATAGAACAAGCGCAAAAAACAAATGGAATTTTTCAATAGAATTCTCATAAAACTGCAATAGAATTGTTGACGACATTCTGAAAAATATATTTTTAATTGTTTTTTCATGGTTGCAGCTACGAGGACCACCACCGGGGCCTGTTTTCGACGATCGTGGAGCTCGTGAAAACGCCCCAGGGGGTAAGATGACATCAACTATTTCACTCGAATGGCTATTTTGTTTGGAACAGTAGGAAGGAAGACCATGGTAATATTTTATTCGTATTTCAGAAGACCACCAGCAGCCTCAAGATGATGGAGATGGGGTCAATTTGAGGAGACCTCCGGTATTGGCCCCAAACATCCAGCAGCTCATCCAGCAGCAAGTGCTGGAGCAACTGAGGAATGTAAGTACCTAGCAGATTTGGAGATCTCAAACCGAAGGTCCTTGAATTTCCTAGATATTTCTAGTAACTCTCTGAATTTCCTTCAAAGTTCTAGTAAGTTCTGGTAAGTTCTCTCGAATTTTCGAGAAACTTCTTGCAATTCTTAGAATGTGCTGCACTTCTTGAAACCCTCGAAATTCCCTGAATTCCCTGGAAAATTCAAGAAACACCCTAATTTCTCTCTAAATTTCCTAGGAATTCCTAAGAATCCGTTCTATTGGTTTGAAATTGCAGCAAATTGCTGGATTCTTTCTCCCAATTCATCGGAATGTCTAAAGTTCCCCCAAAACTTCTCAAAACTCCCTGACTTTCCTCGCAAGTTCTAGAAACGCCCTGGTTACTCTCCAAATGACTGGAAATCCGTTGAAATTTCCTCGAAATTGTCAGAAATCACTAGGATTGACTTCGAATTTCCCCAAATTTACTGGAAATGACTAGAATGCCCTGAATTTCATCGAAATATCAAGGAACTTCTCCAACTGCCTGGAAATTTGTAGAAATCTTTTCAAATTTTTCCGAATTTTTATAAATTTCTGGGATTCTCGGAAAAGTTCTAGAAACATCTTGAACTCTTTCGTAAGTTCACACAATCCCGAGAATTTCCTCGGAATTTCTCGATTTCTGTTGAATTCATTTGAATCTTCTCCACACTCCATGAATTCCCTGGAGACTTCTAGAAATGTTTTGAATTAGCATCAAATTTCTAGAAATTGCGTGGATGACCTCTAAATTTCGAGGAACTCCTGAAATCCCCTTGAAATTTACAGAAAATACCTGAATTCTCTCGAAAGAGGACTCTTTTCAACCGATTCCTTATTTTTTTTAGCTCGGATTTCAGCCAGGAGATCCTGCTGCAGAAGGAGCTAGAGTTGCTCCACAGCCATCGGTACCAGGACGTAGAGTCCCTCCAACAGATGGAGACCCCCTACAGCGAGAGATACCTCCAGCACGTGGAGCAATCCCAGTTCCTGAAGGACAACCGGAGAATGTTCCAGAAAGGACAGTCATGCGGGAGATCCTTCAGGAGCTCCAACTGCAAAGAGAAGCAAGAGAGAGAGAGAGGCAAGAGAGAGAGAGGAATGAGAAATAGAGACAAGAGAGAGGGAGGAAGCAGAAAGGAAGAAGAAGAAGAAGAGAGGGAGAAAATACTGGGGAGGGGGTGATAGATACCCAGGATATGGTGGTGGCCGTCGAGGGGGAGGGAGAGGAGGAGGAGGGTATGGGGGAAGGTACGGCGACAGAGGATATGTCCTCCTGTAAGAAAGACAATAAAAAACGTCCATAAAATGAAAAATCGTCTCCGTCATTTCTTTCCTATTTAGCCGTCCCATTCCTTCGTCTTCATCAATAACATTTCTACTCTAAAATTGTCATTTCTTTATTATATTTTTGTAGAAACCCCCTGGAAAGCTCGTGGCTCGGTTTCATATGTGACATTTCAGATTTATTTGACTTCCCATTTTTAACAACCTTCATATGACTCCCATGTGACTTCCATCGGACTCCCATGTCACCTACATATGACCCTCTTATAACGTCGTATTTTCGGTGAATTTTTGACTCTCATATGAACTACTGATGACCTTCATACGGCCTCCATATAAACCTCAGATTCCCAATTGAACCCCATATGACGTAACCCTCACATGATCTCCATATGACCCTCATAGAAAAACTT